CGCAGCGCAGTTTTCAGTGTCAGCGCAGCCGCATGCTCGCGCATTTGGCGAGCTCGTTCTTGAGATACGTCTCGAAGATGCCTGGCGGCGCCACACTTCGCGTAGAAGTCCACCTGCTTGATGCCGTGCCAGTAGGCCAGGGGGATCTGCAGCTCCACAGCACGTGTCTGAGACAGATGCGACGGTACCCACTCGACCTCGATCTCCCCCCCCCGACGTTCTTGACGGCTCTCCAAAATTGCACCCGCAGCTCTGCATGCTAGTGATGGGAGCGTGCGCCATAGGGGAAGCCAGTCTGCCAGCCGATGTAGAGCTCCCTGGAATCCGTGATGAGGCGAAACCGTCCTTGAGACTTGTGAAGTACTGCTTGCCTCGCTGCATGTAGCTCTCCTGTCCCAGATGTCTGCCACGGGGACAGGACAGGTCCTGGGGCAGCTGCATTAACGTTACCAACTGCATCAATCATACAGAAGGCCCAACCACCTCGAACTCTCATCTCGCAAAGTGGAACATACAGCTGCCGTCGACACAGACATCTCCACTGATAAGACCAGAAGCTGTGCACATATGCCAGCGAACGACGTGGTGCTCCTCTGCGTCAAGTAGCTGGGAAAGCGGATCAGTAAACAAGACCTTTGCACAACATCCTCGTGCACGGGTGGTCTGTCCCAAATCCCACCAACCCTCTGGGCGTCGGTGGTTTAGGGCGTTTCCTCTTCCACCCCTCCCTTTTCCCCTTCGGGGAGGGGTTTATCGTTGTTCCCTATTAATAAACACCCCCTCCCCCAGGCGACTGTGGGCCAACCAGGGTCCATGCCGACATCCCCCACCATCCCTTGTAAAAAGCAATGCAAAACACACCCTGCGTCCAAATTCGGAACATGCGCAGCCAACCCGATGCGGCCTCCCCCACCATCACTGTCAAAAAACAATGCAGAGTACACTTGGCGGCGGCGGCTGCTGCGGCGGCGGTGGCGGCGGCTGCGGCGGCTGCGGCGGCGGTGGCGGCGGCGGGGGCGGGGGCGGGGGCGGCAGTGGCGGCGGCGGCGGCGGCGGCGGCGGGCGGCGGCGGCGGCAGCGGCAGCGGCAACGGCAGCGGCTGCGGCGGCGGCGGCGGCTGCTGCGGCGCGGCGGTTGGCAGCGGGGGGGCGGCGGCGACGGCGGCGGCGGCGGCGGCTGCGGCGGCGGCGGCGGCGGAGGCGGTGGCGGAGGCGGCGGCGGCGGCGGCGGCGGCGGCGGCGGCGGCGGCGGTAGCGGTGGCGGCAGTGGCTGCGGCGGCGGCGGCGGTTTGGCAGCGGGGGGCGGCGGCGGCGGCGGCGGCGGCGCCAGATTGGCCCCCAGTAGCTGTCCATCCCAAGACGACTGCTGAATATGCTCAGGCTCGGGCCAGACTCGGGTGCTACGTATGTGTTGGGAGGGCGGGTGGGAGTAAGCGAGGCGGCTTGCGGGCGGGGGGGGGGTGTCTTGACCCCTCCCCCTCCCCCCTCCCCGTGGACCTGGACGGGGGGGGGCCGCGGGGAGTTAGAGCGTCCAAAACGGCCTCGGCGAGGAAGCCAAAATCATTGATTTTACTTAGGTGTTGGCCCCATTTTGGCCTCCTGGGGGGGGGGCGTCATTGAGAGGCCCCCCTTCGTTGACCGATCTCCTCCAAGATGGCCCCAAAAAACGCCCAGGAGGCCCCGAAAGGTCCCAAGATGACCCCAAGACTGCCCCAAGAGGCCCCCAAGAGGCCCCCAGGAGGCCCCCAAGAAGACCCGAAGCGCCCCCAAGAGGGTCCCCCGGAGGCACCCAAGACCCCGGAAGAACCCCCCAGGATCGCCAAGAGACCCCCGAAACGTCCCAACAGGCCACCAATAATCACCCAACAAATACCCGAAGAGGCTCCGAGAGGCATCCAAGAGACCCCTGGCCCTTGTGCTTGCCCTCCTCCTCCTCCTGTTCCTCCTTCCTGCTCCTACTCCTTCTTTTCCTCCTCCTCCTCCTCCTCCTCCTCCTCCTCCTCCTCCGCATCCTATTCATCATCCTTCCTCCCACTCCCTCATCCATCCATCCATCCACCTCCTCCTTCTCCTCCTCACTCCTTTGCACGGTTCGGCCGTCCTCCTCTTTGCTGCCGCACTTCCCTGATCAACTCAACTCGCCTGGGCATCGTTTCTAGATGGGCTGGTGGGGGTACGCGAAGCGTCTAGAAGTCAGTGCGTCTCCACTGCGTGAGCTTCCTTGCGTACCCGCTCCAGTCCTGCCGCTCGGTGAAATGTCCCTCACAAAGAAAGCATCGATGCACATCTGTACCTTCTTCCACTTCGCACAGAGCACATATCATAGTCTCCGTCTCCTGCACCGCATGTAGCCTGACTTGGTGGGAAAAAACCCAGCCAGCCACGTGCGTAGTAGACCTGCACCCTTAGAGTCTCGCTGTTTCCGGGATTAAACAATCAAATCCAGGGCTGGCTCGAGAAAAGGCGGCCCTTTAGCCCTTCCATGTCACGGCTGCCTGGTACTGCCTCCAGGGGTCGCCTTTTCGTGGGTATGTTGATCAGCCTCTTGAGCGTGCCAGCGCCTAGGTCATCCAAATCCACTCTCGAGCCACGCTCCGTAAACCAAAGGTTTCACCTCTCAACTCTCCATCCCATACGCCTGAGCGTCATGAGTGCTGTCCCCGCTGGCCCCTGCACTGGCTGCCGCGACCGTGCGTGGTCCTGCGCGGGCATGAGCGCCAAAGCCATCGCCTTGGGCTTTACCCATTACTCCCACTTCGCCTTGAGCCAGTGCACCAATGGGTACTCGTCCGCTATGTAGGTAGGGTCTGCCCGAGGACAATGCGAAAGTATGAACTCCATCGTTCTACGTCTTCCCCTCGCCGAACCGAAAAGCGCATGTCCAGATAGGGATCTGGCCTTTTGCAGTTGGGTGTCACTCATGCCCTACGCCTTGGCAGTGCGCCCGATCGATGCCAGGCCTCCTGAACGAAAGAGCTTGCCCATCTGCCTGCCTCCTTGTGCCAGCCTGCGGAATCGAACTACTCTGCGCCCTGCTGTCACTCGGCTGCGATGGGTAGGTGCCCTCGCTCCACCACCAATACGTCGATCGCGTCCAAGTTGCCGAACGACTCTTGCACGTCTGAAAGCCCAATCACTCAATGCAATTTCAACTTGTGTTGCCACGCTAGGCGTCGTCGCAATGACACGAC